AGCCAGCATTCAGGACCCAAACATCTGCGTGCTTGAGCAGGGCGTCGTACGAAAGGAAGTCGACGACCTTGGTGTTGGCCGGAATCGTGAGCTCCTCGGGAAGTGTCGCGCCCTTGACACCCAAGATGGCAACGAGAATGATATCATCGCGGTGAGCCAGACCTTGTATCGTGGGGATGATGAGATCCGTGTAATTGATAGCGATGGTACCCTGAGCAACTCCCACAACCTTCTTGTTTCCGGCCGTGATTTCACCCCACCATTCTGGGTACTTGTAGTTCGGGTCGATGGGCTTGGGCGGTAAACATCCCGCGTACTTGATGACATCGGGGAGATCCGATCTGGGGTACTCGAGGCTGGGCGAGCACATTTGCAGGGTAACGTCGTAGCTGGTTTGCCATGATTCGAACAAGGCTGGTGGCAGCTCGCGCGTACCGCCGAGCGCCTTGACGACGTCGTTGTACTCCTTTGCTGCCGCACCAAAGGGGCCCATCGGGCTAAAGAACATCTCATTGAGGAGCTTGTTCCGCCCGCGGCCGGACTCGGTCGAGTCGGGGGGTAGACCGGGTCCGAACGGCGCAGTATCAATGCTCGTGGTCACGACGGGGACAATGTTGATGTCGACGACGGGCGGTCTCGTGGTGTAGCCCTTAGGTAGAGGCGTGCCGTACATCATAGGGGCAAGACCCATGTAGAACGTCTCGTGGACAATGACGACTTGCTTGTCGGGATGCTCGACACGGATCTTCTCGAGGGTTTCCATCAGGACATGGAAGTGAGGCGTCACAGCCTTGATGAAGACGTTGCTTAGGTCGTACATCAGGCGGGGTATGCCAACAGGAATCTTTTCGCGAATGGCTTGCTCCTCGGGGTTCAACATGGGCGGAATGCTAACATGCTGGGCACCGATGCGCTTGACTTGAGGGTGGAATTCTTCGCCGGCGATGAATGTGCCTTCAAAACCGCGTTGGATCATCTCATCAGCAACCTGAAGGAGGGGATAGGTGTGTCCTGTTGCTGGTGCCGCGCAGAAGAGAAGGTAAGGCCGCTTCTTGTTGCCGTCGCTGACACCATTGTTGGCCGCTGCTTCGGCAGCCTGAGCTATGGAGTCTGCTGACAGTGTCATGATCTCAGATACTTTGTCTCTTTCAAGAGATTCTTGGGGTGAGTAAATAGGTGCTCGAATCGTTACTTAAAAGCAGAGAGAAGGATGACATCAAGATGTGCGGCGGCACCCAGTGATTTATACATGTATCAATAAGAGAATACCTAGGGAAGACGCAGTACGCGGGGAACTTCAACTCGATGCGGTCACTCATCTCGGTGAAATTTCCATCCGTACGCGCGCCGTTGGATCGAATAGTCGCCGGCTTCATTGCGTTCAACGCTGCATCGGGCCGCATTGCGAAAGGGAAATCTGACAGCAGATTTTAGTACATCAAACGGCCCTATCCTGCCTGTCTCTAAGCCTCAAGCTTGTTGTATGGGGCCATCAAAGAGCCAGTCAGCATGCACTAGTCGTATATCGTACACCAGTGTGCGTAAGGCAGCGAGTCATTGTGAGATGCTGCACAACCTCTGTGTCCACGTGAAGAGGAGTCGAATGGGCATGTTGTAGGGTCTTACCGGCGGTATTGAAGCCCATTGGTGTCATACTCTGATTATCGACGGTCCACGTCTCTGCAGCGCGATGAGAAAGGACACTGCAGGATCAGGGTCCTTGCAGCCAAGTCTCAGCCCGTCAGCGCGACGTCTAGAACGAACGAGCTAGTGTGGCCGTGGATTGAGGCTAACGGTGCTAGCATCGTGGATGATGTAAGTCGGCGAATTGGCTTCGTTCTGTAGCTTCAGGCTCCAGTCTTGCGGCTATCCGAGTGCCGAGCTTTGAGCCATCGCCGGAAAGGTCCTGACATGGCAGATCAGCTTCTCTTGAGAATGCTCTTAGCCACCTGAGATCATCGGATGACAGGGCCCAAGGGGCATCTGCCATCACCGGTAGAGAGTCTACCGGCAAAGAGGGGCCCGGCATGGATAAGTGCTTAGAAAGAAACGTTCATATGTGAGGTGGGGGTTGACGCGTGGTTCGTCGTCAGACCATAAGGGAGGCTTCACGATCGAGATGTATTGACAATCGTAGGTATATCACATATCGAAAGACGAAATACTCTGGACAACAGCCTGCTGCCTTGTACGCGCTTCACAATTTTGTCAGCCTTTGCGATTGCGAGATCTCGAAGAAGAGTAAAGTAGAGAGAATGGCTAGTAGTAAGATGGCGCATGCAGGTAAGCTGACGCTCTGATATCCTGCCACTTGCGAGAGTCTCATTGGCGCTCTTGGGAGTTTGATGGATTCTCGATGATCTAGAAGACGATGCGAGCCATTGATGGGGCCCTTGCGAGCGAATGATCAAACCTGTGCGACAAATAATGTCAATAGTGAAAGTGTTGACAGTTTGATTTGTGTTCGTCTCTTCGTGAGGTTCTATTGTCTTGGCCATTGGACCACAGAGGCCTGTAACGTTTCCTTAGCCTCACACAATGCGGATGAAGCGTTCCCGGATGATGAAGAATGAGCTGATGGACGTCGTTGATCAACACTGCATCGGCGTCGGCAAACAGCAAAAGGCCGCGCGGGGACGACGCTCTCGCGCGCGCGGGATGATCCCCAAGCAAGGAATGTTGTATCGTTATTAATGGGTCTCGGCCGTTATGTCTCATCCGCTTTGCTGGACAACTCTCGATGCTTGATCAAATGTCTTGGTTCGCGCGCGCGACCTGACCAAAGGCACTCTGCATGTCCCCCCATCACCGTCGTTGTTCTCGAAACCATTGAATGTTCCGATATTTCCATGTCCTTTTAAGATCCCAAACGCCCCACCAAAAGATGTAATGCATGCTGCAGCCGCCCGATGCTGCTTTACTTGAGGCCTGGTCAAGCAGTCCCTTTTCCTTTGCGATCGCCTGTCCGGGCGAACAGGTCCTTGAAGCTCCAGTGCCTCCTGTCTGAATCGTCTGATGGTCCGGATGAAGGAAATATGGAGAATCGAGAGGATGACGAGCTTGACTTGGCTGAGCCGTAGACTTCGGTCGGTCGCCCTGGCAAAAGAGCAGTTAGAATTGTGTTCAAAAACGCAACGCAGGAGACCAAGGTGGCATCAAACTTACTAATGTTTCCAGCCCCTCCAATCCCGTATCCTCGAAACTGGCGGTCTCTCACCGCAGTCTCCTTGACATCGTCCTCCTCTGTGTCGCTGCTCGCATTATCCAAGCTCTTCCTCCTCCGCACTGGTGCCACTGTGCTCCCAGCTACGCCCGACTCGAACTTTGCGCTCGCTGGGCCCCCCGACCCGTTGCCGACAACTGGTGAGGGCAGCTCCGGGGCCACTGACGGCGTGGGTCGCAGATTCACTGTGGACACGCTGCGAACGACAGCGAGTCGGCCCTGAACGCGGACGCGGTGTCGGCGCTTCTTCGTGGGGATGAGCTGGTCTGACTCCGGATCGGGTTCCCCCGCGTCGTCTTGGGAGTATCGGTGCTGGTTCGAGAAGGGAAGCATCGTGGGAATTTGGTGAAGCGAGTCGAATTAGGGGTAAGATCGGCGAAAAGAGGTTTGTCGTGGTTTAAGGTTGCAGTGTGATAACGCAGTGCTCTGGCCAGCTTCCGCCGGGATGAACACGAACAATTAAGGGCCCTCCTGGACAGGAGAACTAAAGTAACGCAATTGAAATGTAGAAACAAGAATCAAAACAGCGGCTGGGTTTGAATGAATGGACGCAAACGAGGTGACAAATTCTCGTCGCACGGGAAGCGGGCGTGGCGAGGAACTATTTCATCAGCTCGCAGCTCAGCGACGGTATATACACACATTATTCACAAGCAAGGTAGAGGAAGAGAGCAAAGGAATGCGTTAGGGCGTCGCATCATGAGCGGCAGGAAAGGTAGAAAGGGGGACCAACGCCCATATGTTCGCCCCCAGACGAACGCCTCAGCCCAGTCCAGCCAACACGAACTCGCCCTAAGCTAAGCACCAGCTGCTTTGATGACTACTAGGTAGATAAGAAGACGGCGTGCTTGGGGTTGATTGCGCCGCTTTGCTATAGTCACCATGCTGATTTCCTTCTGTCAAAGCTTCTAGCAATCAAATCTGGGCTCCTTCGCCTTCCTTCGGTGTTCGGGGGCGGACGAAGCAAAAGGTCCCCCCCCCCCCCCCGCCCTCATTAACTCATTAAACCTTGCATTGGCGCGAACCCCTGGCAGAAATGGGGGCTACGCTGCAAAAGAGTCCAAAGCAAGGAATTTTGGGGTGACATCGCCGGGGAACCAACCCGGATTTGCACCAGGGCCCGTCTCCCGCCCCGACCAGGTTGCCGGCTGCTTCGGATTCTAAGATTTCAAGGGATTCTGCTTGTTTTGTTTTTTATCTATTTCGCTCTGGTTCAGATCTATCCGTATTTCTTGTTGTTCGTGGAGAAAATACCATCTGACAGAAAAAGTTGCGCCGTGAGCCCAAAACAAAGGAAGCCCTGGAAGTGAGATCGATCAAACGTTGCACCAACAGCCACAAACAGCTAGGCTCAGCAGTAACCCATAAGAGATTAGTTCTCACCTCACAGCCATAGTCTATGGAATAGCATTCGATGGCGCCTTGAAGCTCTGTAGATCGCATCCGGGATACGGCTTTTTCGAGTGGTTGTCAGGTTTTCTCATCTCAATTTGCAGTTTTGTCACAATGATTTAGGTGAGCTCTGGTTTGGTGAACAAAGGAAGGCATTATTGAGATTACGTATTACATGATTATCAGTCTTGTGTTCGCTTAAGAAACGTCCTGCATCGCGACTTGCGCAGAAGAAACCAGCGAGTTTCTGAACAAAGAAAGGCTAGAGGTCAGATACCCATAGTAGACAATTTCATAGTGTGTTTTTTTTTGCCGCAACTCCATCAAACATAGGAAAAACCGACAGAAAGAGAGGAAAGAGTGCTGTAAAAGCATTTTTGGACTATTAGGCGGCCACGTTCACCGTGGCGACGCCAAAGAGGCGCAAGTTCAGGCAAGCCACAATGTTCGGGCCCGTCAAGGACAGGTTCAAACAATCCGAGGCGATGCCGTTGGACAAGAGGCCGAGCGAAGTTACGCAAGAGATGAGGTTCGGTGCGCTGACAGTCACTGCCACGCCACCGGTCGCGTCGACGCCCAGGTTGACACAGCTCTGCGGTAGTGACGTGATACACTGCGAAGCCAGCGAGTTCTGGATACATTGAGCGTACGATTGTGTCTGGGCTCCGAGGAGACTGCCCACCAGGCCGGTAACGCTGCCGAGAGTACAGCCCAAACCGGAAGCCAAGTTTGATACCGTGCTTCCCAAGGCGCTGACGACGAGGCCAGCCTGGCAGAGATTGAGGTTGGCATTGATTTCCGACGTTGAGAGTGTGACATCCAGTAGAGCACCGCAGGCTGCCGGAGCGCGGGCGCAAGCTGTGCCGGAAGGACACAATACTGTGCTTGCCAATCCGGCGACTGTTTGACCGACTGGTAGTCCGAGAGCTCGCTCGAAACAGTTGAGAACGGCCGCGCCTCCTTGGTTGGTGACGCTGGATATGATACAGTTGCCTGCTGTCGTGATGGAACCAAAGGCTCCAAGGTTGGCGAAGCATAGAGCGGCGTTGGTCTGGACATTGGCAAGAGTCTGGCTGGATGCCGCCAGGTTGGCGCAAATTGACGGAAGCCTGGTGAGACAGGTACCCGCCAGAGCAGTCTGAATACATCTGACGTGGTTGAATCCCAGGACGTTTCCTAACAGAGCAATTTGTTGCAAGTTGAGACAGTTGCTGACGGTTCCAATGTTGGCAGTCGCGCCCAAGGCTGCAGTACAAGCATCGAGTGTCGACTGAGAGTATGATTGCAAGATGACACCCGTGAGACTGGCGCAAGCAGAAGGCAAAGTGATTGCGGATCCGGTTGATGGTAGGCAAGTCGGGGCGGCGACGCCGGTGGGCGTCGGGACACAGCCGGATGGTGCGTATGAGCTGGTGACGACGCGACTTGCTGATGCGAGTGCCGTCTGCTGCAGTACTGTGTTTCCAACAGTTGTGGTCCGCGTGCCGGTGAAGGCACCAGTGACTCCCGTGAGGATCGTGGTGTACGATGTGCTTGAGGGGAGGGCGGTCTGCTGGACGACCGTGTTGCCAATGGTGGTGACCTGAGTGCCAGTAAAGGTGCCGATCACACCGGTGACCACCGTCGTGTAGGAGACTGGAGGAATGGCCGTCTGTTGAAGGACGGTGTTGCCAATGGTCGTGACTGCAGTTCCGGTAAAGGTGCCCGAGACTCCCGTGAGGATTGTGGTATACGGCACGGCAGTCTGAGCGAGGACCGTTCTCGTTGCTCCGGAGCCCGCGAGGGTAGTAAGAGAGGTTCCGGCAAACGTGCCCGGAACACCAGTGGGTACCGTGTTGTAGAAGACCTGTGGCAGAGCCGTCTGGGCGATGACTGTATTACCGATAGTAGACAAAGAGGTTCCGGTAAAGGTCCCAGTAATTCCCGTGACGACCGTGGTGTAGGGAATGGCCGTCTGGGCAACGACTGTCTGAGTAGCTCCAGAGCCCGAGAGAGTGACCAAAGACGTTCCGGCAAAGGTGCCCGGCACGCCTGACGGGATGGTCGTGTAGAAGATCTGAGGCAGGGCTGTCTGAGCGAGAACCGTGTTTCCGATCGTGGACAGGGAAGTTCCGGTAAAGGTGCCAGAAACTCCAGTGAGGACCGTCGTGTACGGAATGGCGGTTTCTGCCACGACAGTCCGGGTGGCTCCGGTTCCGGAGAGAGTGACCAGCTGAGTACCGGCAAAGGTGCCTGCGACTCCCGAGGCGACCGTGGTATAGAAGATCTGTGGCAAGGCTGTTTGGGCAAGCACCGTGGCCACGCTTCCGACGGCGGGAAGCGTTGATAGCTGCGTTCCCGTGAAGGTGCCGGTGACTCCCGTGGGTACGGTAACGTACGAAACCACAGGCAAGGCCGTTTGAGCGAGAACGGTCGCGACGCTTCCGACGGCGGGCAAAGTAGACAACTGCGTTCCAGTAAAGGTACCAGTGACGCCAGTAGGAACAGTAACGTAGGAAACGACGGGCAAGGCTGTTTGAGCCAACACTGTAGCCACACTGCCGACAGCGGGGAGGGTCGAGAACTGGGTTCCGGTGAAGGTGCCAGTGACGCCTGTAGGCACCGTGACATACGATACCACAGGCAAGGCTGTCTGAGCAAGAACAGTGGCAACGCTGCCAACAGCCGGGAGGGTTGAGAACAGCGTGCCAGTAAAGGTGCCTGTGACTCCTGTTGGAACAGTCACGTACGAGACAACTGGAAGAGCTGTCTGGGCCAGTACCGTGGCCACGCTTCCGACGGCCGGCAACGTCGACAAACGGGTGCCTGTGAACGTGCCAGTAACGCCAGTCGGGACGGTTGTATACGAGATAACTGGGAGAGCGGTCTGTGCCAATACGGTGGCCACACTGCCAACGGCGGGCAAGGTTGAGAATTGCGTGCCCGTAAAACTGCCAGTAACTCCCGTCGGGACGGTGATGTAGGAGATGACTGGGAGAGCGGTCTGCGCCAAGACGGTTCCGATAGTTCCAGAGACTGGCAAAGTTGACAGTTGGGTACCCGTGAAGGTTCCAGTAACGCCAGTAGGGATCGTGAGATACGAGATGGAGGGGAGGGCGGTCTGGGCAAGGACAGTTCCGATCGTGCCGGTAACAGGCAAGGTCGAAAGCTGCGTGCCGGCGAATGTTCCAGTAACACCAGTCGGGATAGTGATGTACGAGATGGATGGCAGAGCAGTCTGGGCGAGAACGGTTCCAACGGTACCAGAGACTGGCAAGGTAGAAAGTTGAGTGCCCGCAAAGGTTCCGGTAACGCCAGTTGAGATGGTGATGTATGAGACCGAAGGTAGAGCAGTCTGTGCCAACACTGTTCCAATGGTGCCAGTGACGGGCAAAGTCGATAGCTGAGTGCCAGCAAAGGTTCCGGTCACGCCAGTTGGGATCGTGATGTACGAAATCACAGGCAATGCGGTCTCCAGAAGTACCGTCGCAATGGATCCCGTGATCGGTAACGTGGTTGTCTGAGTGCCGGTGAATGTTCCTGTAACTCCAGTAGGAATCCTGATGTACGAGATGACCGGGAGGGCCGTCTGCGCGAGCACAGTACCAACGGTGCCAGTGACTGGAAGGGTGCTGAGACGGGTTCCTGTAAAGGTTCCGGTCGCTCCAGTGGGAATCGTCACGTAAGAAATGACTGGGAGAGCAGTCTCCAGGTAGACGGTGCCAACAGTCTGGCCTGGACCAGTGGTAGGCAAAGTGACTGTAGAGGTGCCTGTGAATGTGCCAGTAACCCCAGTGGGGATGGTGATGTACGAAATGGCTGGGATAGCGGTCTCGAGAACGACTGTGCCGATGCTCTGGCCGGCTCCCGTCGTGGGAAGCGTGACAGTCTGAGTACCGGTAAAGCTGCCGACCACTCCGCTCGTGACAGTGATGTACGAGATGGCCGGAATGGCAGTCTGAAGGACAACAGTAGCGATGCTCTGTCCGGCTCCGGTGGTAGGGAGAGTGACGGTTTGAGTGCCTGTGAAGCTGCCCACGATGCCACTGGTGACGGTGACGTAGGAAATGGGCCGGATGGCCGTCTCCAACAACACGGTGCCGACGCTTCCGGTAGCCGGGAGGGTGGTTACCGAGGTGCCGGTGAAAGTACCAATGACACCAGTGATGATAGTCGTGTAAGAGACAATGACGGAGCTGGGAATAGCGGTCTGAAGAACGACGGTTCCAAGGCCTCCTCCAACAGCCGGCAAGGTGGTTGTCTGAGTGCCGGTAAAGCTGCCAGTAATTCCACTGGTGACGGTGAGGTATCCAGTGGGCAGGGCGGTCTGAAGCAGGACGGTTCCGAGACCGCTGACGGCCGGAATCGTCGACGTCTGGGTGCCAAGGAAGTTGCCCGCGACTCCGGTGAGGAGAGTCGTGTACGAGATCGGGATCGCGGTCTGAAGCAGTACCGTACCGATGGTTCCAGTAGCTGGTAGGGTGGTCGCTGAAGTTCCAAGGAAGGTTCCGAAGACGCCAGTGACGATGGTTGTGTAAGACGTGGCTGGTGGTACGGCCGTCTGCAGAATAACAGTGCCAAGAGTTCCCGTGACTGGAAGAGTCGTAGTCTGGGTGCCTGTAAAGGTGCCAACGATGCCGGACAGGATGGTGGTGTATCCAGTGGACAAGGCAGGAATTGCAGTCTGTTGAAGAACGGTTCCGATCGTGCCTGTGACGGGGAGAGTATAGAGCTGGGTGCCGAGGAACGTGGCTCCCAGAACTCCAGTAGGAATGGTGATGTATGAGGTGACGGGGTTGGGAATGGCAGTCTGTTGCAGAACCGTACCAATAGTGCCCGTGACAGGCAGGGTCGACAGTTGGGTTCCGAGGAATGTTGCTCCCAGAACTCCCGTGGGAATCGTAACATAAGATGTGACGGGATTGGGAATGGCCGTCTGTTGAAGGACGGTGCCAACGGTTCCAGTGACTGGAAGAGTAGAGAGCTGAGTTCCAAGGAACGTGGCTCCCAGAACTCCAGTTGGGATTGTGATATAGGAAGTCACGAGAGGAATGGCGGTTTGTTGAAGAACAGTTCCAATCGTGCCAGTAACAGGAAGCGTAGAAAGTTGCGTTCCAAGGAACGTGGCTCCCAGGATTCCGGTCGGTACCGTGATGTACGAAGTGGCAGCGGGCAGAGCCGTCTGTTGCAACACAGTTCCAATCGTGCCGGTAACGGGCAAAGTCGAAAGCTGGATACCCGTGAAGGTAGCTCCCGCAATGCCAGTAGGAATCGTGATGTATGAAGTTGCTGCCGGAAGGGCTGTTTGCTGGAGCACGGTGCCGATGGTTCCAGTAACCGGCAGTGTCGTGAGCTGAATGCCGGTGAAGGTGCCACCGATGACTCCAGTTGGGATCGTGATGTATGAGGTGGCAGCCGGAAGAGCAGTCTGTTGAAGGACCGTACCGATGGTGCCGGTGACGGGCAAAGTGGAAAGCTGGATGCCAGTGAATGTAGCCCCAATAACTCCGGTGGGAATCGTGATGTATGAAGTAGCCGCCGGCAGAGCTGTTTGTTGAAGTACAGTTCCGATAGTTCCCGTGACTGGAAGAGTAGACAGCTGGATGCCGGTGAATGTGGCGCCAGCGACTCCCGTGGGAATCGTAATGTACGAGGTGGCAGCTGGAATGGCCGTCTCCAACAAAACGGTTCCAATGCTTCCCGTAACTGGAAGAGTTGTGGCGCGGGTGCCGACAAATGTCTCGCCAGCGATGCCAGTGAGAATAGTCGTGTAGGAAGTTGTCGGGACGTCCGGAATAGCCGTCTCCAAAAGGACAGTTCCAAGGGTACCGATGACAGGCAGAGTGGTCGCCCTTGTACCAGGGAAGCTGGTTCCGGTGACGCCAGTGAGGATCGTGGTGTACGAAGTCGTGCCGGGGCTCGGGATTGCTGTCTGGAGGACGACAGTGACGAGTCCGGGGGCTGTGGCGGCGGCAGGCAAAGTAGTTGTCTGGGTTCCTGCAAACGTACCAAAGATGCCAGTGACAATGGTGACGTAGGAAGTATTGATCACGATGACCGAAGAGCTTGAAGACGTGCTGCTGACCGATGGGAGAGCAGTCTGGATGAGAACGGTCGCCACGTTCCCCGTGCCAACGATGGGAAGAGTGGTTGTCTGGGATCCAGCAAAGTTGCCCGGGATGCCTGTGAGAAGCGTGGTGTAGGAGATGGCGGGCAGTGCAGTCTGTAGGACGACAGTTGCCAAGCCGTTGGAACCGACAACAGGCAAAGTGCTGGTCTGGGTTCCGATGAACGTTCCAGGGATACCCGTGAGGACGGTAGTGTACGAGACGCTCGGAAGTGCAGTCTGGAGGAGAACAGTGGCCACATTTCCGGTGCCGACGACGGGTAGGGTAGTCGTCTGGGTGCCAAAGAAGCTTCCAGCGATGCCGGTGACCAAAGTCGTGTATGACAGACTTGTGGTGGGAATCGGGGTCTGCAGAACAACAGTTCCGAGGCCGTCGATTCCAGTGCCAGGCAGAGTGGTAGTCTGGGTTCCGGTAAAGGTGCCAACGATTCCACTGAAGATCGTAGTGTACGAGGTAGCGGCAGGGAGAGCAGTCTGGAGAACAACTGTTCCAAGGCCGTTGGCGCCGGTGCCAGGGAGGGTGGAAGTCTGCGTGCCGATGAAAGTGCCTGGGACGCCCGTGATGACTGTGGTATAGGAGGCCGCAGTTGTTGAGGGGACGGCCGTTTGCAAGACAACAGTTCCAAGACCGTTGGTGCCGACCCCAGGAAGGGTAGTTGTCTGGGTTCCAGTGAAAGTGCCAAAGACACCACTGAAGATGGTCGTGTATGAAGTGATGACGGGAAGGGCAGTCTGGAGGACCACGGTAGCCAGGCCGTCCGGACCAACACCGGGGAGGGTAGTGGTCTGGGTGCCGGTGAAGCTGCCGGGAACGCCGGAGACGATGGTCGTGTACGATTGCACAGCCGATGTGGGAATGGCGGTCTGCAAGACGACGGTAGCCGTGATACCGATGCCGATACCGACTCCGATGGACGGAATGGGCAGGGTGCTTGTCTGAGTGCCAGTGAAGGTTCCCAAGATACCAGTGACAATGGTGATGTACGTGATGCTGACGCTGCTTGTAGGCGACGAGGTGGCAGAAGGAAGAGCGGTCTGCAAGAGAACCGTTCCGACGCTGCCAGAGATAATTGGCAGCGTGGTCGCCTGCGTACCGATGAAAGTTCCGGGAATTCCAGTCAACAATGTGACGTAGGAGAGAACTGGGCTCGGAGTTGCGAGAGCGGTCTCCAAGAGAACGGTGCCAACAGTTCCGGTGACAATGGGGAGCGTAGTCGTCTGGGTACCTGTGAAGATGCCAGGGACTCCAGTCAGGATTGTGGTGTAGGTGACACCAGCGCCGCTCGAAGTCGGCGTGGGAACGGCGGTCTGGAGAATAACGGTGCCAACTCCGTTGGTTCCCGCGGGAAGTGTCGAGGCCAAGGTGCCGGCAAAAGTACCCGGGATGCCCGTGACGATGGTGACATATGAAGCAGCTTGGACTGTGGGAATAGCGGTCTGAATGATGACCGTGGCAAGACCATCAGAACCAGCCGGGAGCGTGGTAGTCTGCGCGCCCAAGAAAGTTCCTGGTACCCCGGAGAGCAAGGTGGTGTATGAGACGGGGCTTGCTGTTGGCAGAGCAGTCTGAACAATGACAGTTGCCAGTCCATCGAGACCGGCAGGCAGCGTTGTCGTTTGTGAGCCCAAGAAAGTGCCCGGGATGCCAGTGAGCAATGTTGTGTACGAAGTTGGGCTTCCCGTTGGCAGAGCTGACTGAATGACAACGGTGGCGAGGCCATCAGGGCCAGCAGGAAGTGTTGATGTCTGTAGGCCCAAGAAAGTTCCTGGAAGACCTGTGAATACAGTTGTGTAGGACACTGGGCTGGCTGTTGGGAGGGCAGTCTGGATGACCACAGTCGCGATTCCGTTGGTACCGGCGGGCAAGGTGGAGGTCTGCGCACCAAGGAAAGTTCCTGGAACGCCCGTGAGCACCGTGGTATACGATAGAGGGCTTGATGTTGGCAGGGCTGTCTGGATAAGAACGGTTGCCAGACCACCAGGGCCAGCAGGAAGGGTAGTCGTCTGGGCGCCCAAGAAAGTGCCAGGAACGCCGCTGAAGACGGTGGTGTACGAGAGCGGGCTGGCTGTCGGGAGTGCGGTTTGAATGACCACAGTTGCAATGCCGTCGGTTCCGGCTGGCAGAGTTGTTGTCAAAGGCGCGGTGAAAGTGCCAGGAACACCAGAGAACAAGGTCGTGTACGACGTTGGGTTTCCAGTGGGCAGGGCGGTCTGAATGACCACCGTGGCGATGCCGTTAGATCCAACAGGCAAGGTGCTCGTCTGAGCGCCGATGAATGTACCCGGTACACCAGTGAGGACGGTCGTGTAGGACGTAGGGCTTGCAGTCGCAGTTGGAAGCGCCGTTTGAATGAGCACGGTCGCGATGCCGTCAAGCCCAGCGGGCAACGTGGTTGTGATGGGCGCGATGAATGTGCCGGGAATGCCAGAGAACAGAGTCGTGTAGGACGTCGGCACACCAGTAGGCAGCGCAGTTTGGATGATCACAGTAGCAACGCCGTCAGGTCCAACTGGAAGAGTGCTGGTCTGCGAGCCCAAGAAGGTTCCAGGGATGCCAGTAAGCAATGTCGTGTACGAGGCGCTTGCTGTTGGGATCGCGCTCTGGACAAGTACGGTAACGAGTCCATCGGGACCGGCAGGAAGCGTGGTTGTCTGAGCTCCGATGAAAGTGCCGGGAACGCCTGTGAAGCGAGTCGTGTAGGAAACACCCGAGGTAGGAAGAGCGCTTTGCACGACAACAGTAGCGAGACCGTCGGGGCCCGCGGGCAAGGTCGTGGTCTGAGGTCCGACGAACGTGCCGGGCACGCCAGAGAAGATGGTGGTGTACGAGACCGGGCTTGCGGTAGGCAGGGCAGTCTGGAGAAGAACGGTTGCGATGCCGTTGGTACCAACAGGCAAAGTCGTCGCCTGGGTTCCGAGGAATGTGCCCGGAATTCCCGTCAAGGCCGTAGTGAAAGAAACACCAGCAGACGGGACGGCGCTCTGGACGAGGACAGTTGCCAGTCCATCGGGTCCTGCTGGAAGAGTCGATGTCTGAAGACCAGCAAAGGTGCCAATGATGCCCGTGACGATGGTCGTGTACGAGACAGTGACGCTGGGGCTGGACGTGGCCAGAGGAAGGGCAGTCTGGATGAGAACGGTGGCAGATCCATCATTGCCGGCGGGAAGGGTAGTTGTCTGGGTGCCAATAAAGGTTCCAGGAACCCCCGTGATGAGAGTGATGTACGAGATACCGCCAGTGACCGTCGGTGTCGCAACGGAGCTGCTCGTCTCCGTGAGGGGAACGTAGACAATGACCGTGTTGGGCAGGGTAGGATCGCCGCTGATGCTGACCAGAATTGTGGTGGTGATTCTTGTCGTTCCGGTGTAAGGGGAGAAGATGGTGGTGAGGTCACGGCTGAGAATCGAGGTCGGAGCAGATGTAATGGATGGCAGCGAGGCGGACGTGCCAGTGATCTCCGGGATCTGCACAATGACGCTTCCGATGCCAGAGCCCACAGGGGGGATTGAGAAGGTCGTCGCAACAGAGCCGGTGATGGTGAGGGTCGTGTAAGACGCGAGGAGGGCAGTCGGAGTCTGGATGACCACGGTTCCAAGGCCGGTAGGGTCGGCGGCTGGGATGGTAAAGGTCGACGCACCTGGGCCACCAGAGGTGATGGTGGTGAATAAGGCTCCCGGGCTGACAGTGGGTGTCTGGATGACGACCGTTCCGAGGCCAGTGGGATCAACAGCTGGAATCGTGAAAGTGGAAGCGACTGGACCACCAGAAGTGAGAGTCGTGAAGAAGGCTCCGGGACTGACGGTGAGGGTCGGTGTCTGGACGACAACCGTGCCCACGCCACCAATGATGTTGGGCAGAATGGTGCTGGTCGTAGCAACCGGTCCTCCCGTGGTGATGGTGGTGAAGATGCCAGATAGAATTGACGTGGGCTCGGAGATGATGACCGAGACGATGCCATCCAGTCCGGTGACCGTAGCTGTGGCCGGGAGCGCTCCGGTGCCTGGAACCGTGGTGAAGATGGTCGAGGGAGTGACTCCTGGAGGCAAAGTAGTGCTCGGAAGCTCCACGATGATAGAGACGATTCCACCAAGGCCGCTGGCCGTAGTAGTGGTCGGGAGAGCACCAGTTCCCACAATGGTGGTGAAGACCGTAGTCGGAACCACGAGGCTCTGGCCCGAGGTTGTAGGCTCCAAGAAGATGACGGAAACGACTCCATCCGTTCCCGTGACGGTGGTCGTTGCTGGTAGAGCAGCAGTTCCGGGCAACGTGGTGAAGACCGTAGTCGGAACAGCTCCCGAGGGAAGAGTAGGAGTCTCAAGAATGACAGAGACGATTCCATCTGGGCCGGTGACGGTAGTAGTGGCAGGCAAGACTCCAGTGCCCGGCTGAGTGGTGAAGACCGTAGAGAGGATCTGTCCAAGAGCCGTTGGGGTCTGTACAATGACGGAAATCACGCCATCAGGCCCGGTGATCGTGGCAGTGGCCAAGAGTGAGCCAGTTCCAGGCGCGGTTGTGAAGACCGTGGAAGGAGTATTGGAGGGCAAGCCAGAGGAGACAGTCGGGGTCTGGATGATGACCAGACCAACTCCGGTGGGATCCGTTGGCAAAATAGTCGTCGTTGCCGGAACGAGACCAGAGTAGCCGCTGGTGACGGTCTGGAAGATGGCAGGAAGGTCGATGATGACTGTCGCTGGGAGGCCGGTGCCGGCGGGAGCAATGGTGGTGGTGCCGGCAGATGGTGCGCCAAAGCGAGTTGAAGTAACCTCGGCAAAGACGCCGGGGATATTGACAAGAACCGTGGTTGGATCTCCAGGCTGAGCGGGAGTTTCTGTCTGGATGAGAGTAACGGAGCCGCTGTAAGTATTGAAGACGGTTGTGATGCCACCAATCGTGGGTGATGCCGTGGCCGTGGCCGTGGCCACGCCAGGAACCTGGATCATGATCGTCTGGGCACCATCGGAGCCCATTGGCAGAGTTGAGGTGGCAGTAACACTTAGACCAGGGATCGTCGTCGTGACGAGCACCAAGCGACGGGGGAGACCAAGAAGAACAGTGACCACATCGCCAGCCCTTGACGGAACAAGAGTCGAGATCTGGGTGACGGAAGCCGTGATGAAAGAAGTAATGGTTGTGTACGTAGTGCCGTCCGAGATGGTGAGAGAAGGCGTGCTTGAAGGCACGGCGGTCGGGACTTGGATGAAGACGGTGCCTGGCAGACCAGAGGCAGCGGGAGCGAGCGTCTGGAAGAGAGTTGAGGCGCCAGAGTAGCCAGTCGTGACGGTGATGTACGAGATGATGGACTGAGTGACCGAGATGGCGGGCGTTGTCGTGGCTGTGGCCGTGGCAGTGGGAACCTGGACCACAACGGTCGCAAGTCCATCTGCGCCAGTGACAGAGCCGATGAGGGTCTGAAGAAGCGATCCATCATATCCACTCGTAACAGTCGTGTACGAAACACCGGGCAAAGTGGTCGTGGGCAGAGATGCCGTGCCAGTGGGGATGTTGACGACCACGGTGATGTAGCCGTCAATACCGGGAAGAGAGCCGATGAGAGTCTGGATGAATGAGCCTCCATAGCCGCTGGTGACTGTGGTGTATGAGACCGGAGCCGAGACAGTCGGGCTAGAGGTGATGTAGGCTGTTGGCACCTGGATCACGACCGTGGCGAGGCCATCAGCACCAGTAGCGGTACCGATGAGGGTCTGGAGAAGAGATCCAGCGTAGCCACTTGTGACGGTGGTGTAGGAAAGACCGGAAATCGTTGCAGTCGGGGAAGTGAGTCCCAAAGTTGGAGTCTGGATGATGACCGTCGCCAAGCCGTCTGCACCAGTCTGCGTTCCAATGAGAGTCTGGAGAAGCGAGCCGTCGTAGCCACTTGTCACGGTGGTGTACGAAAGGCCAGGAATAGTGGCAGTCGGCGAGGTAATGGCAATCGTGGGCGTCTGAATGACCACTGTGGCCAGTCCATCAGCTCCGGTCTGCGTTCCAATGAGGGTCTGGAGGAGAGATCCAGCGTAGCCGCTGGTAACCGTGGTATAGGAGAGACCCGGAATGGTGGCCGTGGGTGAAGTGATGGCGATGGTGGGAGTCTGGACGACAACAGTAATAAGACCATCGACACCAGTAACTGAGCCGGTCGATGTTGCAACGACAGATCCATCATATCCAATGCTGACTGTAACAAACACGCCAATGCTTCCCGTGATGGTTGGCAATGAGGCGGCAGTTCCGGTCGGCGATAGAACGACCACAGTGACAAGGCCATCTACTCCGGTGAGAACGCCCGTCTCGGTTGCGAGGACAGATCCAGGGTAGCCGCTGGTGATGGTCGTGTACACAGCTCCAAGGGCGCTGGTGGCACTTGGGACCTGGATGACGACTGTTCCGGGGTCTGCGGGGTTGGCCGGAGGAATGGTGGTTGTCAATGGGCCCAGGCCGGTGAAGCCACCACTGGTGACAGTCACGTACGAGATGGCATCTACGCTGACTGAGCTGGTGGGAACCTGGACGATGACGGTTCCGAGGTCGCCAGGAGCGCCAGGGGCCACGGTAGTGGTCTGGGGAATGAGGCCGGTGTAGGCACTGGTGACCGTGGTATAAGAGATGCTGTCCGTGTTGAGCACGTTGCTGGGAACCTGAATAATGACCGTGGCAAGTCCGGAGGGATCCGTCGCCGCAGGGGGGATGGTCGTGGTCAAGGTGACCGAGCCGTCATAGGTGCTGAAGAGGGTAGTGAAGAAGCCACCCGGCGAAGCGGTAAGACTGCCAGTGGGGAGGCTCGAAGTATCCAAGATGTCAGGAACTTGAATGACAACTGTTCCCAAGCCCGTGGGGTCCGCGGCGGGGATAGTAGTTGTCAAAGTGACTGAGCCAGGGTAGGTACTGAACACCGTGGTGAACAACGCTCCCAGAGCACTCGTGGCCGTTGGGATCACTCCAGTTTCGGGGATCTGAATAATGACTGTACCGAGACCCGCAGGGTCAGTGGCATCGGGAGGCAGAGTGGTGGCCAAAGTTACAGATCCAGGATAAGTGCTAAAGATGGTGGTGAAGGAAGCAGCCAAAGCACTCGTGGCAGTGGGAATGATTCCTGTATCCGGAATTTGAACAATGACCGTGCCGAGGCCAGCTGGATCTGTGGCAGCAGGAGGCAGAGTCGTGGTGAGCGTGATGGATCCCGGGTAGTTGCTGAAGATGGTGGTGAACGAGGCCGCTAGAGCACCGCCAGAGGAGCTGGAACCGGTGACCTGAGAGTCGGGCACCTGGATAATGACCGTTCCGGTTGCGAGGCCGGCTGGATCCGTGGCAGCAGGAGGAATGGTGGTTGTCAAAGTGACCGATCCTGGGTAGCTGCTCACGATAGTGGTGTAGAAGATGCCAGGCGAAGCCAAGAGATCCGAGGTGGTAAGAGGAACCTGCACAACAACAGTACCAATGCTGCCTCCAACCGCGGGATCGATCGTGGTGGTGATCGGAGCAGATCCCGAGAAGAAGCTGACGATCGTCGTGTATGTAATGCTGACGCTGATGGTCGGGCTCGACGTGGCCAGGACATTGGGCAACTGGACGATGACTGTGCCAATGTTGGCAGGGTCGCCGCTAGCCGGAGCAAGGGTCGTCGTGAGAGGAATGTCGCCAGTGTACGTGCTGAAGATTGTGGTGTAGCTGACGACATCGGAGTTGGCAGACGATGTTGGCAACGCAGTGAGGACCGAGCTGGGCTGAAGAATGACAACAGTGCCAGTCTCACCAGGCGCGCCGGGTGCAATGGTAGAGGTCTGGATAATGGACCCGTCGTACCCACTAAAGATTGTAGTGAAGGGCACATCAGATGTTGCAGTGGCCTCGGGCTCGAAGAAGATGATGGTGCCAACAGTGTCAGTTCCCGAGGGAGCTTGCGTGGAGAAGGATGGCAACAATCCAGTGTACGTGCTGGTGACCGTGGTGTAAGAAGAAACACCAGGGATCTGAACACTCGAGCTGGGAACCAGCAGGATGACGGTGCCAACAGCATCGGTGCCCGCGGGAGCTAGAGTCGAGGTCGCCAGCAACGATCCTGCGTATGTGCTGATGATGGTCGTGTAGGAAACGGTGACGCTGGGCGCGGCGGTGCCCGTTGGCTCCAGAATGACGACTGTTCCGGGTCTATCGGTGCCGACCGCCGGGACGGTGGACGTGGCAATGACGGAACCATCATATCCGCTTGTAATGGTCGTGAAAGAACCAGCGTTGGAAGTCGTGAGAAGTAGAGCGGGATCCAGAATGATGACGGTCGCAGGGTCTCCAGAAACGGCGGGTGGAATCGTAGAGGTCAGGGTCTCGGTTCCGGTGTACGGCCTCGTAATGGTGATGCCCGGGGTGTCGATCGTGATAGGATTGAGAATGATAATAGTTCCCTCGGTATCCGATCCGGTCGGGAAAATGGTCGTCGCGGATGGGATAGCACCCGAGTACGAGCTCGTAATGGTGGTGAAGCTGATGCCCGCACTGCTCGTGGGTACCAGAATGACAACCGCGCCAATTGTCTCCGTGCCCGTGGGCAGAATGGTCGACGTTGAGGGTACAATGCCGGAGTAGCCACTGGTGAGCGTGATGAACTGGCCAGGAGAGGCTCCGAGAGCAGAGCTTGGGACCAGGACGACAACATCTCCAGGCTCGCCCGAGGGTCCAGCGGGGAGAGTGGTAGTCAAAGTGACTGAGCCATCGTAGGTGCTGGTCAACACGTTGGGCAGAGCCGCGGTGGGAGTAGTCAAAGCATCGGTGATGCTTGGGACCAAAATAACGGTAGCACCAGGCTCTCCCGAAGGACCAACCGGAAGGGTTGTGGTGAGAGTAACCGATCCAGCATAGGTGCTGGTCAGGATGTTCAAGTCTGCAGTGGACGTGGGGATGGCACCAGTGAGACTTGGCACCAGAACAACAGTCGGGCCAGGCTCGCCTGAAGGTCCAGCTGGCAAAGTGGTTGTGAGGGTGACTGAACCGCCGTATGTGCTGGTCAAGAAGCTTCCCAGCACAGAAGTAGCGCCAGGAACCAAGACGACGGTCGGGCCAGGTTCTCCCGAGGGGCCAGCCGGAAGCGTGGTAGTGAGAGTGATGGATCCGTCATACGTGCTAGTAAAGAGGTTGGGCAATGCCGAAGTCAATCCAGGAACCAAAACGACGGTAGGGCCAGGCTCGCCAGATGGACCAGCGGGGAGCGTAGTTGTGAGCGTAATGGATCCATCGTACGTGCTCGTGAAGAGGTTTGGCAACGCACTCGTGAGACCAGGGACCAAGACCACGGTCGCGCCAGGATCGCCAGACGGGCCAGCGGGGAGCGTCGTGGTGAGAGTCACAGACCCGTCGTAGGTGCTTGTGAAGAAGTTTGGCAGAGCAGATGTCGGCAAGGCAGATGTGAGACCTGGAACCAGAACAACAGTAGGGCCAGGCTCCCCCGATGGGCCAGCAGGGAGTGTGGTGGTGAGCGTGATGGATCCATCGTAAGTGCTGGTAAAGAGATTGGGCAGCGCCGATGTGGCTCCGGGGACGAGAACAACCGTTGGGCCAGGCTCGCCTGAGGGACCGGCTGGCAAGGTAGTGGTGAGAGTAATGGAGCCATCGTACGTGCTGGTGAATAAGTTCGGCAGGGCAGACGTCGGCAAAGCAGATGTTAAGCCAGGGACCAGGACCACGGTAGGTCCGGGCTCTCCAGATGGACCAGCGGGAAGAGTGGTGGTCAAGGTAACCGAGCCATCGTATGTGCTGGTGAAGAGGTTGGGAAGTCCGCCAACAGAAACGGTTGGGACCAGAATAATGGTCGCACCAGGCTCACCAGAAGGACCGGCAGGAAGCGTAGTCGTGAGAGTGACTGATCCATCATACGTGCTTGTGAAGAGGTTCGGAAGACCACCGACGGAAATCGTCGGGACGAAAATGATGGTGGCTCCAGGCTCGCCAGATGGGCCAGCAGGAAGTGTAGATGTAAGAGTCACTGAGCCGTCGTACGTGCTCGTGAACAAACCACCTGCCACATTGGTGGCGCTTGGAACCAGCACAAGTGTTGGTCCAGCAGGCAGGGTAGTTGTGATAGTGGCAGATCCGTCGTACGTACTGGTCAAGACATCCGGTAAGGCTGGAGAGCCAGGGATACTCGGGACCAGGACCACAGTCGCAGGGTCTCCCGAAGGGCCAATGGGCAAAGTGGTAGTCAAGGTGACGGAGCCATCGTACGTGCTTGTCAGCACGTTGGGAAGTGCTGGAGCCGTGATGCCAGGAACCAAAACGACGGCGGTTGGGTCGCCAGAGGGCCCAATCGGCAGCGTCGTTGTGATTGTGACTGAGCCATCGTACGTGGACGTTAGAAGGTTGGGGAGACCAGGCACAGTCGCGCTCGGGGCCACACTCGGCACAAGGACCACCTCTGCGGGATCGCCAGACGGGCCAATGGGCAAAGTCGTGGTGATAGTAACGGAACCATCGTACGTAGAAGTGAGAACATTGGGAAGCCCAGTCGCAGTCACGCCTGGGACGATGCTTGGGACCAGGATCACCGTTGCTGGGTCGCCCGAGGGACCGATAGGCAAGGTAGTGGTTAACGTGACGGAACCATCGTAAGTCGAAGTAAGCAAGTTGGGCAGTCCAGGTGCGGTGACACTTGGTACAACACTTGGGACAAGGACCACCTCTGCGGGATCTCCTGAAGGGCCGATCGGAAGCGTGGTGGTGAGAGTAACAGAGCCGTCGTACGTAGAAGTAAGCACATTTGGGAGGCCAGCAGCGCCAGACGAGGGTACCAAGATCACAGTAGCCGGATCGCCAGAGGGGCCAATTGGCAAGGTAGTGGTAAGCGTGACCGAGCCGTCATAAGTGCTTGTCAAGATATTCGGAAGACCAGCAGCACCCGTGTTGCTCGCGCCAGGTACGAGGATAACCGTGGCCGGGTCGCCAGATGAACCAATAGGCAAGGTGGTCGTGAGAGTAACTGATCCATCGTACGTACTAGTGAGAACATTGGGCAGACCGGCGCTGATCGAAGACGGCACCAGAACAACTGTCGCAGGATCGCCTGAAGGGCCAACTGGCAAAGTAGTTGTAAGGGTTACCGATCCGTCATATGTGCTGGTGAGAAGGTTGGGCAAGCCAGCGCCGATCGAAGATGGCACCAAAACAACAGTTGCCGGATCACCAGAAGGACCAATAGGCAGAGTGGTCGTAAGCGTCACAGAGCCATCGTAAGTGCTGGTGAGAATGTTGGGAAGACCACCAGCGCCATCGCCCGTCGCACCAGGCACCAGAATGACCGTAGCCGGATCCCCGGAGGGTCCGATGGGCAACACCGTAGTGAGAGTGACTGAGCCGGCATAGGTGCTGGTAAGCACATTGGGCAGGCCGGGAGCATCCGTTATGGAGGCTCCCGGAACCAAGACGATTGTCGCCGGGTCTCCGGAGGGGCCGGCTGGAAGCACAGTGGTAAGAGTGACCGAGCCGCCATATGTGCTCGTGAGGAGAGTTGGCAGTCCTGGGGCATCGGTGATAGGGGCACTGGGAACCAACACAATCGTCGCCGGATCGCCGGAGGGACCAGCTGGAAGGACAGTGGTGAGTGTGACAGAACCGCCATATGTGCTTGTGAGAATGTTGGGCAATCCTGAAGCGTCCGTAGGAGTAACGCCAGGAACCAAGACGATTGTAGTTGGGTCGCCAGAGGGTCCGATCGGAAGTACGGTTGTGAGAGTGACTGAGCCGGCGTAAGTGCTCGTAAGCACATTAGGCAGTGCTGAGGCATCCGTGATAGTGGCTCCGGGCACCAGGATGATGGTGGCGGGATCACCAGAGGGACCAACCGGTAAGACAGTGGTCAAGGTAACAGAGCCAGCGTAGGTGCTCGTCAAAATATTGGGTGACCCAGGTCCAGCCGTGATAGTAGGGACACTGCTGGGTACCAGAATGACCGTAGCCGGATCACCAGACGGCCCAATGGGAAGGGTAGTCGTGAGGGTGACCGAACCACCATAGGTACTGGTGAAAAGGTTGGGGAGGTTGATGCCAATCGAGAGGTCGATGAGCGGAGGAGTGCTTGGCACCAGAATGACGGTGGCAGGATCTCCAGATGGGCCAACTGGCAGCACTGTAGTGATGGTAGATGGACCTCCATAAGTGCTGGTAAATAGGCCTGGAAGGTTGATACCAATAGAAATATCGATGAGTGGAGGAACGGCGCTGCTGGGTACCAAGATGATGGTAGCAGGATCTCCAGATGGTCCCAAAGGTAAGACCGTGGTGAGAGTGACTGAACCACCATACGTGCTGGTGAGCACATTGGGTAGACTGGGTGCAGGCGTGATGGTAGGAGTGGCACTCGGGACCAGGATAACAGTAGCCGGGTCACCGGAGGGGCCGAGGGGCAAGACGGTAGTAAGAGTCGCCGAGCCTCCGTATGTGCTCGTAAGCACGTTGGGAAGACCAGGCGCGGGCGTAGTAGATGGTGTACCACCCGGCACTAAGATGATGGTGGCCGGGTCTCCAGACGGGCCAAGAGGCAGAACCGTCGTGAGAGTGACTGAACCATCGTATGTGCTTGTAAGTACGTTGGGAAGACCGGGAGCAGCTGTGATGGAAGGAATCGTGCTCGGGACCAGGATGACAGTCGCCGGATCGCCCGATGGCCCAATGGGGAGAGTGGTTGTGAGAGTGACCGAACCATCGTAGGTGCTAGTAAAGACATTGGGAAGACCAGCGCCAGTTGAACCAGAGCCGGGCACGAGAACAACAGTTGCTAGGTCCCCAGAAGGTCCAATGGGCAAGACGGTAGTAAGAGTAACCGAGCCTCCATATGTGCTTGTAAGCGCATTAGGGAGGCCGGGAGCCGCCGTGATAGAAGGAATAGTGCTGGGAACCAACACAACCGTGGCGGGATCACCGGAAGGCCCAATAGGCAGAGTGGTCGTAAGGGTGACTGATCCATCATAAGTGCTTGTAAGCACATTAGGTAGACCGCCATTGTTGGATCCAGAGCTGGGCACCAACACGACTTCTGCTGGATCCCCAGAGGGCCCAATGGGAAGTGTGGTTGTGAGGGTAACTGAGCCATCATAGGTGCTGGTGAAAATATTAGGGAGACCGCCATTGTTCGCTCCAGAACTAGGCACAAGAATGACAGTTGCTGGGTCGCCTGAAGGTCCGATAGGCAGCGTCGTCGTGAGAGTGACTGAGCCTCCATAGGTGCTTGTGAGCACGTTGGAAAGGCCAGCACCATTCGATCCAGAACTGGGCACCAATATGACTGTGGCAGGATCCCCGGAGGGGCCAATTGGCAGAATTGTCGTGAGAGTCACCGAGCCGTCGTACGTACTGGTAAGAATGTTGGGCAAACCAGGGGCGGCCGTGGAAGTGGGACCACCGGGGACGAGGATCACGGTCGCGATGTCGCCGGATGGTCCAACTGGGAGAGTTGTAGTCAAGGTTACGGAACCTCCGTAGGTGCTCGTCAAGATGTTCGGTAGACCAGGGGCGGCAGTTGAGCTGGGTACCAAAATCACAGTCGCGATATCGCCAGAGGGACCAACGGGTAGCGTGGTAGTCAAAGTGACTGAACCGCCATAGGTGCTGGTCAACACATTGGGCAGCCCAGGCGCCGCAGTTTGGCTCGGTACAAGGACCACCGTGACGGGATCTCCAGACGGGCCAACAGGCAAGGCAGTGGTCAACGTGATCGATCCGCCGTAAGTGCTCGTCAGAATATTAGGCAAGCCAGGAGCAGGTGTCGTGCTGGGTACCAGGATGATTGTTGCGATACCGCCTGAAGGTCCGACTGGAAGCGTGGTGGTCAAAGTGACTGAACCGCCATAGGTGCTGGTCAACACATTGGGCAGACCAGGCGCCGCAGTTTGGCTTGGTACCAAAATCACCGTCTCGGGGTCGCCAGAAGGACCAACCGGCAAGACGGTTGTGAGAGTGATTGATCCTCCATACGTAGAAGTGAGGACATTTGGCAAGCCAGGAGCAGGTGTCGCACTTGGAACCAAGATGACAGTCGCGACATCTCCAGAAGGCCCAACGGGTAAGGTGGTAGTGAGGGTTACCGAGCCACCGTATGTCGATGTCAAGACATTGGGAAGACCAGGAGCGCCAGTCTGGCTGGGCACGAGAATGACCGTGGCAACGTCTCCTGAGGGACCAACAGGCAATGTGGTGGTCAAAGTGACCGAACCTCCGTACGTAGAAGTGAGGATGTTGGGGAGGCCAGGAGCCGCAGTTTGACTGGGGACCAGAACAACAGTGCCAATGGGCAAGGTCGTGGTCAAGGTGACAGATCCATCGTACGTGCTGGTGAAGAGATTGCTTGGGACAGCGGGAGCGGCAGTCTGGCTCGGCACCAGGATAACAGTCGCCGGGTCTCCAGAAGGTCCGACTGGGAGGGTAGTGGTGAGCGTAACCGAGCCGTCGTACGTCGAAGTGAAGATATTGGGCAATGACGGAACCCCAGTATTGGTAGGGATGAGGATGATAGTAGCTCCAGGCTCCCCAGATGGACCGACGGGCAAAGTCGATGTCAGCGTGACTGAGCCATCATAGACACTGGTCAACACTCCGCCAGGGGCAATGGTAGGTGTGGCAATAGGAGAGCTTGGTACGAAGATGACGTTCGCACCGGGCTCGCCGGACGGGCCAGTAGGCAGAACAGTGGTGAGGGTAACCGAGCCTCCGTACGTCTGGGTAAGGATATTGGGAAGACCTGCAGCTGCTGTGCTACCCGGTACCAGAATGACAGTAGCAGGATCACCAGATGGACCGATGGGCAAGGTGGTCGTAAGGGTGACCGATCCGGCATAAGTACTGGTCAAGATGCCTCCAGGGGCAACAGTTGGTGTAGCAATCGGGGAACTTGGCACAAAGATAACAGTTGCACCAGGCTCTCCCGATGGGCCCGTAGGCAGCACAGTCGTCAAGGTCACCGATCCACCGTATGTCTGGGTCAGAATGTTGGGTAGACCGGCTGCTCCAGTGCTGCTTGGCACCAATACAACGGTTGCTGGATCGCCAGATGGGCCGATGGGCAAAGTGGTCGTGAGCGTTACCGATCCATCGTACGTGCTGGTCAAAACACCTCCAACAGATGGAACGGACGGAGCAGTGGTCGGGAGGCCAGGAACGAAAATGACTGTAGCTCCAGGCTCACCCGATGGGCCCGTAGGCAGCACAGTCGTCAAGGTCACCGAACCGTCGTATGTCTGAGTAAGGATATTAGGCAGGCCAACGGCTCCGGTGCTGGTCGGCACCAAGATGACGGTCGCTGGGTCGCCAGACGGTCCGATTGGCAAAGTAGTCGTCAAAGTGACTGAACCGCCGTAAGTGCTCGTCAAAACGCCGCCAGCAGATGGAACAGTTGGTGCTGTAGTAGGCAAGCCAGGAACAAAGATGACCGTTGCGCCAGGCTCTCCTGAAGGACCCGTGGGAAGAACAGATGTCAAAGTCACAGATCCACCATAGGTCTGCGTCAGGATGTTTGGAAGGCCTGCCACTGCGGTGCTTGTTGATACCAAGGTGTTGCTTGGTACCAAGACCACAGTCGCTGGGTCACCAGATGGGCCAACCGGCAAAGTAGTCGTGAGCGTGACCGATCCGTCGTACGTGCTTGTCAACACATTGCCGAGAGCCTGAGTAGGGTCAACGGACGAGGCGCCTGGAGCAGAGGGAACGAAGATGACAGTCACACCAGGGTCGCCCGCAGATCCTGTGGGGACAACAGTGGTCAACGTAACGGAGCCGCCGTAGGTCTGGGTCAAGACGTTGGGCAGCGTAGGAGCAGCAGTGATGGTTGGAGTGGCGCTGGGAGCACCAGGTACGAAGATGACCGTAGCGGGATCTCCAGACGGACCAACGGGCAAGACTGATGTCAAAGTGACTGAGCCTCCGTAAGTGCTCGTGAGGATGTTAGGTAGGCCCGCAGCACCAGTGTTGCTAGTGATGCCAGGAGTGCCTGGTACGAAGATGACTGTAGCAAGGTCTCCGGACGGACCAACTGGCAAAACTGAAGTTAAAGTAACGGAGCCTCCGTAAGTGCTGGTCAAAACATTAGGTAGACCAGCCACACCAGAGTTGCTGGTAACACCAGGAGTTCCCGGTACAAAGATGACCGTGGCAGGATCTCCAGATGGGCCAACCGGTAGTACTGAAGTCAAAGTCACCGAACCTCCATAAGTGCTTGTCAGGATGTTGGGGAGACCAGCGGCACCAGTGTTGCTGGTGACGCCAGGGGCACTTGGAATGAAAATGATCGTCTGCGCAGGGTCTCCAGCAAAGCCAGTAGAGATGACGGAAGTCAGAGTAACTGAACCATCATAAATACTGGTCAAAACATTGGGAAGACCTGCAGCACCAGTGTTGCTGGGAACACCAGTCGCGCTTGGCACGAATATAACGGTAGCTGGATCTCCAGATGGACCAACAGGGAGGACCGAAGTCAGAGTCACCGAGCCTCCATAGGTACTTGTCAAGATGTTGGGAAGTCCTGCAGGGTCAGTGTTGCTGGGAACAATGGTCACGCCCGGGACGAAGACAATAGTCTGCGGGGGCACGTTGATACCACCATCAGTAACGACCGACGTAAAGGTGACTGAGCCTGCATATGTGCTAGTCTGGATGTTGGGCAACCCCGGAGCAGCAGAGCTACTCGGCACAAAGATGATTGTCTGTGCTGGCTCACCCGATGGCCCGGTTGGTAGGATTGAGGTCAGGGTAACCGAACCACCGTATGTGCTGGTCAAGACATTGGGCAATGAGGGTGCACCGGTGGCGCCAGGGGCGCCGGTGTTGCTCGGGACGAAGATGATTGTCTGGCCGGGGTCTCCGTTGGTACCGGTAGGCAAGACAGAGGTCAACGTAACAGAGCCTCCATACGTGCTAGTCAAGACATTCGGTAGCGCCGGGCTGAGCGTGGCAGTGGGAGTCGGGATGAGAATGATAGTCGCACCCGGCTCGCCGAAGGGCCCAGTGGGCAGCGTGGATGTGAGAGTGACGGAACCGCCATAGAAGCTGGTGAACAGGCCACCGGCAGTCGGCACTGTAGCAGGTGGAGTGACTGTGTTACTAGGGAGGAAGATGATTGTGGCACCCGGCTCACCAGAAGGACCCGCAGGTAGAACCGAAGTTGATGGCACCAGTCCGCTGTAGAAGCTGGTGAGAACTCCAGCCAATGCGGTGGTCGCGGGAGTGGGCGCAGCAGTGTTGCTGGGAACGAAGATGACTGTGGCACCAGGCTCTCCAGACGGTCCGACGGGGAGCGTAGAAGTAAGAGTGACTGAACCTCCGTACGTGCTAGTGTAGAGACCGGCAGCCAAAGCCGTTGTAGCGGCGGTTGACAGACTGGTGCTGCTGGGAAGGAAGATGACGGTGCCACCAGGCTCGCCAGAGGGACCTGGAGGCAACACGGATGTCGAAGGCACCAAGCCACTGTAGAAGCTGGTAATAACACCGCCAGCAGTGGGCGTTGCTGCGCCTGCTCCGCTCGTTGCACTTGGGACGAGAACGATGACCGTTCCGGGGTCATTGGAGTTGATCGGGGCGACAGTAGTAGTCAGAGGAACTGAGCCGGTGTAGGTGGACAGGAATGTTGTGAGTACATTGTTGCCAACACCAGGAGCAGCGCCACCAGTCGAGCTCGCAATGTTGCTTGGAACCAAGACAATAAGAGTGCCAGGGTCTCCAGGGTTTGCAGGTGAAGCAATGGCCGTTGAGATAACAGAGCCACCATACGTCGACGTGACAGTAGTAAGAGGAATGGCGGGTGTGTCTGTGGGAGAAGCCAGCACGTTGCTCGGAACGAGAACAACGAGGGTGCCAGTCGAGCCAGTTCCCGATGGGAGCACAGTCTGGAATGAGGTGACCGAGCCTCCGTAGGTGGAAGTAAGAGTGGCAAACACCGCACCGGGTGAGGACGTAATAGCTGGAGCACCAGCACTGAGGGTACCAGGGTCGATGGTAGAGCTCGGGACAAGAATGACGAAAGTTCCCTGGGAGTTGGTTCCGGTAGGAAGGATAGTCGAGGTCGACGGCACGGATCCGGTGTAGGTGCTGATGAGCGTCGCGAAGTTGGCACCTGGGGTAGTTCCAGGGGTTGCCGTGGCGCTTGGAAGGAGGACGATGACGGTCCCCAAGCTGTCAGTGCCAGCGGAAGCGAGCGTAGTGGTCGATGGAACCGTTCCGGTGTATGTGCTGATGAGAGTCACGAGCGACGCGGGTGCCACAGTCGGAGTTGCAGCTGGCCCTGTGGTTGGAATGTTGATCGCAGGACTTGAAGTCGCAGGATCCTGTCCAACAGTGGGAGTCTGGATAAGAACGAGACCAACGCTGCCGCTGGCAGTAGGCAGGATAGTGGTGATCTGAGTTCCGGTGCCAGAATATCCAGTCTGAACCGTGATGAACGAGAAGCCAGGAGCCGTAGGTGTAGGGGCAACATTCGTAACCGCGGGTGAAGAAGGAGAGAAAGGAGTCTGGATAATGATGGCTCCAACGGTCTCAGTTCCAGATGGGAATACTGTGGCGGTAGTCGGCACAGCTCCCGTGTAGCCAACGGTAGTAGTGAGGAACGAAAGGCCAGACGTGGGAAGAGGTGTCTGGATAATGACAGTTCCTGGATCTCCAGCGTTCACAGGTGCCAAGGTTGTAGTCGCCGGTGCAGTGCCGAAGAATCCACTGGTCAGAGTAACAAACGATGCTGGAGCAACGGTGACCGAAGGAGCAGCAGCAGAAGTAGGCGTCAGGACGATCAAAGTCGTCGGGTCGCCGGCGGAAGAGGGAGTAAGCGTAAGAGTAGACGTGGCAGAGCCAGCAAACCCGCTCGTGATGATGACGTTGGGCAAAGCGTTTGTGACGCCGGGCGCCGCGGTTCCAACAGATGGAGTCTGGACAACCACACTTCCAGGGTTGGTGCCCGAGGGAGGGAAAGTGACTGTGGTGGGCAGAGTGCCGGTGCCAATAGTTGTGGTCAGGATGAAGCCGCTGGGCACAGTAGGTGGTGGAGGGTCACCGCTGATGCTGATCAAGACAGTCGTGCTGATTCTTGTGGGAGTCTGGATGAGAACGATGCCAACAGAGTTGGTTCCCGTAGGAAGAATCGTCACCGTTGTCGGCTCAGTGCCGGTGAATCCAGTGACAGCCGTGATGAAGCTGTTGGGAGCAACAGCAACGCCAGAGGTAGGAGTCTGGACGACGACAACTCCGGGCTGGGTCCCGGTTGGCGGCAGAGTAAAGGTAGTTGGCGTGGATCCAGTGTAGCCAGTGGTGACAGAGACGAAGCCGGGCGCGGTGACAGCCGGGTCAACGATGGGAGTCGTTGCGCCTCCGGCTCCGGGAGCAGTGGGGGTCTGAACAATCACGGTTCCGATAGTGTTGGTGCCGGAGGGCAAGACAGTAGATGTCGCCGCAACAGGTCCGCCGATGGAAATGGTGATCTGAATGTTCGGCAGACCCAACGAGATGGATGGCACAGTTACAGCACCTCCAGAGAAGATGGGCGTCTGAACGACCACGGTGCCAACCGTGTCAGTTCCACCGGGGAAGTAAGTAATCGTAGTCGGCGCAATGCCAGTGAATCCCTGGGTAGTAGTGATGAAGCTGTTGGCCGCCACGTTGGTGGCAGAGACCGAGGGGTTCGTGAACGGGGTCTGAACGACCACGAGACCAGAGCCACCGGAAGACGGCTGCACGGTAACGGTAGTGGGGAGTGATCCGGTGAAGCCAATTGTGGTGGTCTGAAGAATGTTGACCTCCACAGAAACCGTGGGCGTTTGGATCAAGACGACGCCGAGGGTGTTGGTTCCCGTCGGCGGCAGGGTGGTGGTCTGAGGAACGGATCCGGAGAAGCCCTGGAAGAGAGTCGTGAAGACACCAGCGCCTGGAGCGGCAGTCGCGGCGACAGTCGGTGTCTGGATAATCACGAGGCCCACCGAGTTGGTGCCGGAGGGAGGGAGAATGGCGGTTGTTGCTACCGGTCCGCCCTGGGTCAAGGTGATGAAGGAACCCAGGCTGAGACTGGGGATAGACAGAATGATGGTGGGCAGGTCGATGGAAATGGGTGGGATGGTGAGTCCAGGAAGCACCAAGCCAGAGTTGACTGCGCCTGGAGTGGTAGCAACACCGGTGGGCAGGGCTGTGAACAAGGACGAAGGCACCTGGACGAGAACGGTGCCAACAGTGTTTGTTCCCGATGGCAACAGCACGTTCGTCTCCACGGCGGGAACGTCGGCTGGTGTTGTGACCGTTACGAAGGGCACACCAGAGGGGAGGTTCAGCTGAGAAGCAGCTGGAGTGGCAGGGGTCTGGACGAGAACAGTTCCTAGAGTGTTTGTTCCCGTGGGAAGCAACACGTTTGTTAGCACAGCGGGGACATCACCAGCAGTAGTTACCGTAACAAATGGCACTCCGGAAGGGAGGGTCAGTTGGGGAGCAGCTGGGTTAGTAGGAGTAAGGACGACAACCGTTCCTGGAGCGCCGCTGACAGCAGGAGGAACGGTAAAGGTCGAGGGCTGAAGGCCGTTGAAGCCGCTCTGGATGGTGGTGAAGGCACCTAGAGCTCCAGGTGCAAGACTGGATGGGACTCCGTTGGCACCAGGATCCTGTGTCTGCGTCTGGCCTGGCTGAGCAGTAGCAGTGGCCAAGGGGTCGCCCAGAACCACAACCGTGCCGACAGTGTTGGTTCCCACAGGAGGGATAGTCAGCGTGGTGGGAGTTGACCCAACAGCTGGTCCGGTGAGGGTGGTGAAGGAACCAGGCAGAGCCCCTTGGGACGCCGCGGCAGTTGCAGCAGCTGGGTCCGGAGTCAACACCAAGGCGACTGGAGCAGTAGATTCAAGGCCCTGTGGGAGGACGGTAACGGTGGTAGGTTGAGAACCGCCAAATCCAGTGGTGATGGTGTTGATCACATTAGGAGCCACAGTCGCAGCAGAGCCCGCAGGGTCAGGCGCAGCAGAACTGGCAGCGTTGGTCAATGGCGTAAGGACCAAGACTTGAGAGGCCGTTTGGGTTCCCAGAGGAGGCAATGTGACCGTGGTCGGCACGGATCCGGAGTAGCCGCTAGTGAGGATATTCGGGAGAACACCTGCGTTCGAAGCCGCCGGGTTTGCGGCGGATACGCTAGGGGCGGTAGCTTGCGTAGCAGCGTTCGTGACAGGAGGTACAGCCGTAGTTAAGGCAGAGTTTCCAATAGTGACTCCCGCGCTGAAGCCGACGGGCAATTGCTCGACGATGGTGGCAACCGGGTTGTCGCCCTGAGAAGGGAGGGTCAAAGTCAACGGATCTGTGCCATTGTAGTCACCTCGGATAGTGACTAGGTTGGCAGCCAAAGCGGCTGGTGCAGTCGTGGCCGGATCATCTCCGCCCAGTCCCACGGCGACTACAATAGTTCCGGGGGCAGAAGCAGAGTTTCCTAGCAAGGGCAAGGTGATTGTGGCACCGAGACCGGCAATCGGGAGCGCGGCCAAGGTTCTGAAGAGAGCAGGCCGAGCAGTGATTGAGGGAGTCTGAACAATAATGGTACCCAGAGTCGGGTTGCCGGCGGGAACGATGGTGAGCGAGACTGGAAGGGATCCAGTGTTGCCATCAGTCGTAATGGTCGTAAAAGGGCCGGTGAAGGAGGTGATGGCAGGCTGGACAACAACAGTACCGGTCTGGCCGTTGCCTGAGGGAGGAACAGTGATGGTGACTGGTGATCCTCCCGTGTTACCGCCGGCCGTGATAGTTCGGAAAGGTCCGTTGAAGGCCGTAGGATCCAGGCTTTGAACGAGAACGGTGAAGACGCCGTCCGTCGCACCAGCGGCCGGGGGAATAGTCACAGTCGCGGGAGCATCACCCTGGCCGCCGCCAACGGTAACGGTCGTAAACGGACCAGCAGCGGGGCCTGTGAAGCCATCCGTGGTCTGTACAATAACAGTTCCGGTCTGTCCTTCGGGTGCCGGGATGGAAAGTGTAGTTGGCGTGGCTCCGGCAACGCTGATGGTCTGGAAGATGGCACCAAGAGCTGGTGCCGCAGTCTGTACGATTACCGCACCAACACTGCCAGCCGTCGGGATAAGCGTGAAGGTTCCGGTCTGGCCGTTTTGGCCCTGGATGCTCACGGTTGTGAGCCTAGCAAGGAAATCGGCCTCGCCTCCCGGAGTCTGGATAATCTGAAGCACAGCATCGGCCCCGGTCTGCGTCACACCCCTGTTACCGGGCAATGTGATGGCAGCGGGTGTAACACCGGCGTTACCGAAAACCGTAATGACGTTCTGAGGACCAGTAACAGTGATCGAGAAGCTGTCAAAAGTCTGCGCAAAGACCGTACCCGCAGATCCAGCCGAGTCCACGACGGTGAAGTTCCTGGGCACGCCCGTGGCCCCACCAACGTTGACGGTAGCAAAGATCTGAGGCAAAGCCGCAGCACCTCCAGATGCTGTGGGAGCGATTGTGACCGGAACTGATGCAGGGCTGGGTCCGGGGTTAATAACGCTGCTCGCTCCTGGCGCGGACTGCGTGACAAAACCACTCGGGTCGATGGGAGTGCCCAGGACAGTTGCTGTCTCTGGAACACTACTGCCGGTGGTGGCCGCAATGTTGGCAAAAGGGGTGAAGACCAAGTAGGTTCCGACGCCATCAGGACCAGAGGGGAAGATTGTGATTGTGCTTGCCTCAGATCCGGCCTGGCCACCTCTTGTGATGGTGACATAGGCGTTTGGAATTGACGAGACCTGGTCAATGATTCTAAGTGGTCGTATTAGCTTCAATGTCTAGGTATGAACTTTGAGAAGCTCGAAGAACTTACCTAGTAACTTGGGACGTAAGTGTTCCTAACTTGTCAATTTCGGTGACCAAGGTCAATGGAGCATTAGTGATGGTGAGGGTCAGCCCATCATCGAGTACCAGGACAGTGTTGACTGGTAAGTAGGCGCTGATGTAGATGGGCTGTCTGACGATGAACTGCACCGGCTGTACTTCGACAGATGTGATGCCGGCAGCACAGACGGGATTATCGGGAAACTGAGGCAATGCGATGGACGGCCAGTACTGGCTGGCAGCGACCAACAGGCCCAGGATGGTGTTGAACTTCATGGTGATGATGAAGCGCCGCTGCGTGATTCCAGCACGATAGTCTCAAGACCGTCCAAGACACCAGGTCTGGAAGCCGAGCAGCAGCAAGATTAACCTTAGTTGTGTAACGTCGTTGTTGCTAATCAGAGCCGATCCTTTTCTTTTGTTTCCTTTCGGAATATTAAGGTATAGTAGAGTCGTACAAGGAAATATCTGGTCGACTATTGACCATGCAGTGGCATCTCTCGAATAAGACGGGAGGCGCCGCTGTTTCAACGGGGGGAGGAAAAAGAGAAAAAAGGCAAACAAGAGAAGCGTTCGAGGCCAAAGTGTGTGGACGCCGTGAAACAAATACTAGATGTGTTTCTTGTACGACGGTCAACGAAGATGGCTCGATTGTTTTAATGGTGAGGTTCTGCTGCAGCTTGTTGCCGTGAGACTGGTGCGTTCCGAACCGACAGAATGGGCCGAAGGCGTGTGGAATGTCGTATCCTATGCGGAACGATGGCAGGATCTGTCTTCGGCCCAAGGCGCATGCCAAGCTGGCTCACAATGTCTCTGTGTGATGAGGATGATGGATACTCTACCTCGGACTCGATTGCAACGTCCAAGTAATGACGAGATGTAAGATAGGGCAGATATCGGAAGCGAAGAGAGGCAAATAGAAGAGCGAGAGAAGAGGCGAGAGGGAGGGAGAGATGGCGAGCAAATCGTGGCGAACCTGTTACCGGGCCGAGTGCCTCTCGTCGAGGATACGGCAGAGGCATGAGAGAGAGGCCAGAGCCATCTCATTCGAAAACAGGAGGATTGATGCCTCGCCTGACTTCATGGTTACCTATTCTGTGACTGAATCTGGCCGAGTTCTGCTCGTTCCGGCCAAAGTTGTGATGCTGTTCAGAAGCGATTGGTGAGAATGGGGTCTGGCGTTTTTGGAGATCTAAGACAAGACCGTCAACCGAGAGGGAACTAGAGCCGCTTCGGGAGCCCACGGCGGATTTTCCGCGCTCGGCGTAGGTGAGATGGAGAGCGAGACTGCTGTGATTGCTACTAGGTAACACTCAAGAATGCTCAGAGTTGGCCCATTGTAGACAATCACATTGTTTGTTCGTCGGTAGCGTCAGCGGTGATGGGTGATGTGGTTGAGAGCCACAGGAGCCTAGGTATGCGGGCAAGGTGAGAAAACACCTAGCTAAGGTGATTTGACTAGCATTAGACTCCCGTCATCTCAGATTCCGCGCCCGCAGGAACGACGACGGTTGAGACGACAACATCCGCCTGGCCCTATTGCTTTGCGGGTCGTCCGAAAGAGGGGAGGATTTGCTCCCGTTCTTAGTAGCTTTTCTTGCACCTTACCGACCTTACTTATTAGATGCTTAGCAGAAGCTCTCTCCGCTAGCTGCCGCCCAGGTCTAGGATGACTTGCAGCCTCCGTACGAAAGCGTTGCTGGTGGGTCATAGCTATCTGGTCGTTTCTGTGTGTGCTTGTGTGTGTGTGTGTGTGGGAGGTCAGTCAGACGCAATAAGGTGCGAGACGGTTCGAGGGAGCTGAAGTCCATCTTGACCAAATCCGTCCAAGCTTCTCCTAACTCCCCAGCAGGAGGCGTTCAATGTAGCCGAACCGTTGCTGGCTGTGGGCTACTTGTTGTGGCAGGCCCTCCTCCTTCGGCCGCCTCTTTCAACCTGCTGTGGTGCCTCTTTGGGAATATTACCGCCACAGCCCGGAAACGAACTGACGGGAAGTGGACGGTGAGTCGGAGGTCCCCCATCCCGAGGGGGTGTGTGCATTACCTAGTCAACTCTGTCGGTCTGGTCTGTGGGAGTGGAGGAGTGAGGAGTTGTTGTCAAATAACACACTAGCAGAGTTAGACCGCAACTAAATACGGGAAGGGAATGCGCGAGATCTACGCAACAGTTGGCGCGGTTTTCCCCGGGGGAGCCGTCGCGGTTGGTCAGCCGTCATCCCGTCTAGTTCCAAGACACACACCCTACAAAGAGCCTAGACCCTTGAACTCAATCTCACCGTTCCCACGGAAGCTTTGACAGTTATCTCTTATTTCCGATCTCTGCTTCTTGTTCGGATCCGGTTACCACTCGCCCTTGACCAGGACGGCCCGTGACAGTTGAAGCTATCCCAACCTGTCTTCCCGAACAAGACAAGCAGTCCTGGGAGACTACAGATACCCTCACACACGACCGCACGCGGACAGTGGCGCTGAGCGAGGCCAGGTATTGGAGTCTCTGATCAGAAGGCATCACGATCGCAGTCACAAAGACCTTGGCAAGTATGCATTCAGCCGCTCTCTCGAGCAAACCCACTCATACTGTTCCTTTGCAGCTCTATGAGGGCTTTGTGGGAATTGCGTCTGTTCCGGCCGTGAGACTCTCGAGAGGCTCTTGGGGGGGGCGTCTTTGCAGTCCCCAAGAGGGTTGGATGAACAATAGAGTTGACGCCCGAGTGGACATGACGCTCCGGAGATGGACGTCAGATGTCGACAAACGGCTTGGCGGCTGGGGTGAAGGCGGCACGGGAGGCATACGATATCGGTCCATCTTGAGATCAAGATGTCCTGATATAGAGTTTGTCCGCATTCCTTCTTCAGCCCGAGATTCCTGCCACTCTTGGACCCTGAATCCAACCGCGACAATCTTGAACCATCCAACATCAGCTCACTCCAGCTCACCTCTCGCCTCTTACAAAAATGTTGCAACTCATCTTTGCATTCGCTGCCGTTGCGGCTGGCGCAAGGGTCTACCGCAGACAAGAAGATTGTTCCTCCACCACAACGTTAGATGCCCTCACCGTTACCAGGGTTGAGCCGATCTCGATCTATATCCTCCCTCAACAACTTGCACCGACAGGGACCAACAATGATCCCTTCACCGCAGTCTATACAACAGTCTATCCCACCTTCTGCCCGGAGTGCTCTCAGGGTCTGAGGCCAGAGACTTACACCATCACCCAGACCTGCACCGGCATCACAGGATGCCAACCATCAGGCAGTGTTCTTCCTCCGGGCTTCACTACAACCCAAGCTACTTGCACCGACTGCCCAACACCATTCAGTGCCGTCCTCACTGTCCCTCAAGCGACTGATGCCGTCGTCACTTCAACCTTCCTCGAGACCATCACAGAGCCTGGCTTGACCACGACGCGCACAATCGTCCAGACCTGCGCGAGCGAGCCTTGCTTGCCTCAAATCACCAATGTCCCTGGACGCGTCTCTACCTTCGATGGTGGTCTCTTTGCCGAGCCGGTTACACAAACAGCCACAGTGTCGGTCTCAGTCACCGTGACCGACAAGTCAACTGCAACCGTCACTGCCGATGCTGATCCATCCTTCCGTCCTGGCAACTTCAACAGCGGTGCCGGACACGTCGTCTCTTCAGACAAGTCTCTTGTTCTTTGCGTCAGCGCATTTGTTCTTTTGTTGATCATGTCTTCATAAGCAAGCGAGCGGGTGGAGCGAGCGGGAAAATGTGTGTGTGCCACAGATTGTGGATGATGTTGATGGCCATTAAGACTCATGAACTCTTAGCCTGCGTATTGCTTCATGTTGCCTCTACTGCTTCTAAGGACAATACTTGATACCAATTGTTTTCAATACGAGCCTTTGAGGGCTTTTACTTTCATTTCCTTGTATAACCTTACTTCGGTCCAGTATATACCCTCATCATAGTACCTTATCCATCAAAGGATCTTCAACATTTGTTCCATTGAGTAGATATTAGATATACACAAAATCAACGAGGTCTGAGTACTTCTTCTTCAAATCAAATTCGATCATAAGATTACTTGCTCCATTTCTTGATCGCGACCATTCTGCGCATTCTTCGTTTTCTTTCACTACCACGACTACTTGGCCTTAGTTGGAGATGAATCTTTGTGCCAATACCACTAATAAAAGTTGTGTAACTATCACCATTCTACATCCGACTCACGAAAAGCCCGCTTTTGAAAGATGCTAGATCCCGCAATATTAGAGTGCGGGTAGCAATCAGATCATGAGGGTCCCCCTGATATTAGTCACATTTTGGGGTTACACGCGAATTCCAGGGTTCGAAAGCCCAGTGCCTCCCCTCCCCCGTCTGGAAGTAATATCCCGCCTTTTGGGGAAAAATAAGAGTGATCTGCGTCTCTTGGCCATGCTTCCCATTGTCAAAAGAAATACGCGTCGTCGGGTCTCGTCTGCATGTCATTTTCTGGACGATCATCTCATCACGGCCCTGTCCATCGGGTCTCGATGTGACGACAAACCCCTGTGACCCCATTGACCCCCCCAGGAACCATCCCGAGATCATGGACATGGGCACATATGGATCCGAGAGTGAGGTTTGACCTCATGCTCGGCTCTCGGATCTGCACAGCTGAACATCTGGGAGTCTTGGAAATGTCTGCATTCGTTGAACTTTGGAAGCCATCTTGAACCCTGCTGACTGGATGTCGCAGCGGCTGGAACTAGGACTGCTGATCATCTGCGATTCCGTCTGGTCTATTCTAGATTCTATCTTTACCCTTCTCTTGCGGGGCCGTTTCGCCGCACTCTTCCTCCTCCTGCGGGACCCCGGCCGTAGCTACACAGGCTATTATCTCACACTTTTTTTTTCTTGTTTACCGGCCCGTTCTCACGGGTAAACCCTCGGCTCGCGCCTGATCTGATGATGTGTCTGGATTGGCGGGAGGGTCAAATTCCGCGCAAGCCACGGATGTCACTAGCCCATTTCTCCTCATTCCATCGACAAAGGCAGCGCTACGCAAACTCTCTGCCCACCCGTTGCGACCAGGCTGGCCAGCACTAAGATCTGCAAATCTCCTCCCGTTGCGTCTGTGCGTGATGCAAGATGGCCCTCTCTTCTCTCTACTTGTTGCCAGCCGGGTGGGATGTGAAATGTGATGAGATGTGACTCGAAACTGTCGCCCCCGGTGACATCTCTGGTGGCATAATTGTGGCATAGATGGTGTATGCCACCCCTCAACGTCGACGCAGAGACGATAGGTACGCCCTGGGTAACTATCTAGGTTA